TTACGGGGAGACACCATTTTTGGTTAGAACCAAAAATATCTAATCTCTTCAACCTTTGTGGCCTTAAGCATTTTGTTCACTGTTTTGGTTTCCCCAAATCTAAAATACGGTAAGGAATTCTTAACACTGAACAATTTTTGCTAAGTGAACCAGATTTCCTACGTTTGTTATCCACCTGTGGTACATATGTCAAATGTTAGTTTTTATAGCCAAAAAATGTGATCTTTTGTCTTTCGTTTTTGTAGCCAAAAATGTGATCTTTTAGTGTAACACAGTCTGTTTATTTTTCACTTTTATGCACCTTTTAATGACATACATACTCTCTGCCAAACAAATTTTCTTGACATGTCTCTGTCATTTACAAATGCAAACTCAATACAAGTTCCTTCCATTGGCAGTGGATGCTTTATTCATAGTCCTGTTCTGTTGGCTTTTCCATGGGATGCTACAATCTGATTATCCAGCTTGCTCTTAACATTTCCTTGGAAAATTGACTCTTGCTTGCCAACAGATTAGTAAACAGCTCTCTGAAGAGTATGAAAGGATTGTCAATCCTGAGAAGGCCACAGAGGACACTAAACCTGTAAAGATCAAGGAGGAACCTGTAAGCGACATCACGTTCCCTGTCAGTGAGGAACTGGAGGTTGACCTGGCTTCTGGAGACCAGTCACTGCCCATGGGAGTCCTCGGGGCTCAGAGCGAGCGCTTCCCATCCAACCTGGAGGTCGAGGCTTCACCACAGGCTTCAAGTAAGAGAAACCAACTTACTCATTTTGATTCTGGGAGATCTGCCAATCTCAGTACTTTTTGTTTTGGAATCAAACTCTGGAAATGGAAGAAAAGTGAGGGTGGGCAGGAGAATGGAAAATCTAAAGACAAATATAGCTTCACTGATCTAGAGATACCAACATTCTCTGTGTAATGAGTGAAGACATGAGAAGCACAGCTCAGGCATTCTTTAAAATAATTCCTAGTTAGGATGTAGATGCACTCACTAGGTGTTATCCTGTTGATGACCAGGGTTAATTCAGCTGACCCAGCTTAGGGTGGCGGGGTGCAGATGGCCTCTTGTTCTCTGTATTCTGTACTGGTCTTTCCTGATGCTTATGCTCAATTGATTAAGGCAACTTCCAGAAAGATAGAGTGATGTTAATTGATTAAGCATATGTGAATAGTTGGGGTTCCTTCCTAAAGTACCCCCAACAAATTGGAACTGAAAAGGATTGAAATAGGGTTACCCAATGACAGGCAGCTGGCCTCCTCTTCCAGATAGACCCTGTGATTACCTTCAGAACCAGGATGACTCCATTTCTAAGTCAGTTAAATTGCAGCTTAGTCTAGACATCAGTTCTTTACAAATATAAATTGTCATTTCATCAATGCACAAATGATGCATATAGCAAATCCCCCAGTGTGGCCTAAACAGAATTAGGCCACATTTTTTACAGTATTGGGCAGAAAGCCTTTCACCATGGAAGTCTTAAGAACCACAGAACAGTATTGCTAGAACACACAGAGTTAAAGAGAAATTGTTGCAGACATTGGGGCCATGTCTCTTTTCAGCAGTCTGGGAACTGCTACCAGCATTTTGTAGTGATCATTAACTTTTCATAATGTAAGAAAGGACCAGGGACCCAAACAAAAGGCAGTAAAACCAGACAGCCCCATAAAAGGAAGGACAGGCAAATGTAACTCCTGACCAAGAGCTCATGGTTGTGCCTAACTTTGAGCCAGGAGACAGGGAATGTTCCCACCTGTATAATTCTACAGGAAAACTGTTTACTGTTTTAGGGAAAATGGAGGTGGGTGAGGTAAAGGAGGGTGAGGGTAAAGGAGGTAAAGGGTAGAAGAGGGTGAGGAAGTGAAAAGGAAGATATTCAGAGTTGGTAACTTTTCGATGCAGAGTACCAACCATGTTCTCCAGCCAGGTAGGGAATCAGAGTGAAAACTGAGTTCAAAGGCCAGCAGTTGGCCCTGGGTGGTGTATGCCTTCTACTTTGTTACAGCCTTGGCTTACTTGGCTTACTGCTTGTTAGTTCTGTGTTCTTCTTCCATTCCTAGGTACGGAGGTGAATGCTTCCCCCCTTTGGAACTTGGCCCATGTAAAAATGGAGCCTCAAGAGAATGAAGAAGGCAACGTGTCCGGGCATGGCGTGCTGGGCAGTGATGTGTTCGAGGAGCCCATGTCAGGCATGAGTGAAGCTGGGATCCCCCAGAGCCCTGATGACTCAGACAGCAGCTATGGCTCCCACTCCACTGACAGCCTCATGGGGTCCTCCCCTGTTTTCAACCAGCGCTGCAAGAAGAGGATGAGGAAAATATAAAAGGCAAAGGGGGAGATTTTCTGTCCAGACCTACAAGACCTAGCAGAAAATGTATTCAACTGTTTCCATGAACAGTGATTTGACTCTTACTCTTAAACACAGTGGATTTTTCTGATTTCGGTGGAACTGGATTTAAGCAAACAAGTTTGTATTTTCCTTTTGCATCCAGTTTTTATAGTTTTCCACAACAACCAAGCCACCTTTCACAGACATCACGACACTGGGGGTGGTAATCCAGAGACCAAAGCACTGTCCCTGACTCTTGTCTTTACTGTGTGACTAGACAAGTGACTTAGCTTCTCCAGAGCCATTTCTCTCACACAACTGAGAAGAATCATACTGCTTTGACCTCCCTTGCAGGGATGTTATGAAGACTGAGATGTTATTAAGTCTCAAAGCTGTGCTTAAACAGGCTCACAAATCAATATATGATGATACCAGATGTCAGTTTTTCCTTTTAACTTGCTTCATTTTTGGTTCAAGTCATTGGGAGTCCAGTGCTAATACCTGATAGGAAATAGCTGAACACTGCACAACTTAAATATTAGTAGTCTTTTTTTAAACTGTTCTTGCTGCCCATGAAGTCTCATAAAATCAGAGTGGTCTGTGGTAAACAGCCTTTTTGCTTATTCAGATAGTACTACCCTGTCTCTGCCACATATTTCCTTCTTCTTTCTCTAGACTTATCCCTTGTATCCCCATCCTTTTGTCTTTGCATTATTTCCACTCACATACTTTTTTTATATTTTCACCATGCACATTTTTCAGTTGCTTTCATTTTCTCCCTTGTGAACGAGGCTAACAGGACCTGTGAACGAGGCTAACAGGACCTGTCCAAGGACGGGCTTGTGCCTATTTCATTTGTTGCATTTGCTTGGCCATCAGAGGACCTTTGCTACAATTCTGTATCTGCACATTGTGCTCTTACTGGATGAGCAGCCGCTAAAAGGATAAAAATAGGCACCTTTCTATTTTACATCTTGTCCTGAACAACTTTACTGTTGTTACTCACCTATCACAGTATCTGCCCTGCTTGGCATCTGATAGACTCAATCAGTATTTATTAAATAAATGATACAGCTACTGGAATAATTAGGAGTAATTAGCAAATGTGGGCATGATAAATACTGCTGAAGTTTGGTTTGGGGGTGCAGAATACAAGTCTTGTGAAACTTAGAACACTCCCTTAGTAGACCACACATCAAGGCCCACATTGTTGAATGCCTTAAATGTTCCAGGCATTGAAAATAAAGATAAATGCAGTAGCAACAAAATGAGGTTCTAAACTGTTACCAGATCATTTATAAACTTGCTAATTGTACATCCTTAGCACCCTTACCTAAACCCTTCCTATTCCAGGCTTAGCTTCATTTTCCCTTATTTATTTATGAGAGTAGACATCAGGCAATCAGTTTCCACCATGAGACACCTAGTATTTAATCCATTCAGTTAGCAAACATTTATTGAGGACCTATTATGTACTAGGTCCTGTACAAGGAATACAAAGATGAGTAAGACTTTGTAACTGCCCTTATGGAGCTTATACAACAGGCTGGACAAGTTACTCTTTAAGGAAAAAGTATTCAAAGGCACTAAGGGGAAAAAACAGCTATGTTCAGAGTTTTGCTATGCAAATGGTTTCCTCTTAAAGAACAGGTTCAAGTTTTTAGACCAGTGGTTCCCAATACTCAAAGAATATTGAAATTAATACTTCATGGTAAAACACTTGTTTATTTTTAGAATGTTTAAATTAAAGAATGGGCACCAGATGGTCAAGGTTGGGGTACTCTGATAAAGCAGGTCATGTGAGCTTTCATACCTGAGATTCACCTGGCCTGGAATTACGTCACAGGCTATTTGAGTTAGAGAGTGGTCTCAAGTTTAGCATGCATCAGAATCCCCTGGAGGCCTTATTATACTAGACTACTGGACTCCACCCCCACAGTTTGTGACTCAGGTCTAGAGTATCCCATTTGTAGTAATTTCCCAGGTGATGCTGATGCTTCTGGTCCAGAGACCACATTTTGAGGAACACTAAATTGGAATAAAGATTAGGCAGGGATAAAATTCCTTAAGAGAAATGTATTATGTTTTAAGATACTGAGAACGTGGAGGCAGAGCAAACACTTACCATGGCTGTTAGGTATGGAATGTGCACCTGACCAAATCATGGGCTTTGAATAAATCACTAAGGATACTCTGCATTAAGTTCAAAGAACAATACAAACAGGGCCTGGCTTTGTACCTGGTTACTAGGTGTGTGTACACAAAACTTCAGTAAACATCTTTATAGAGGCTTTAAACCTCTCTTTTGAACAGAAGTGATTATTTGTGATAATTTTCTTATTTGAAATTATGACAGACAGGCTTACAACAAAGTTAAAATTAAAAACTCTTTATCCAAGTCACCATCAAAAGTAAAATTCTTATTCATTAATTATGTACTTTCCTCAATGAACCTGGTGTTCTATAATGAGCTACCCAGTGTGAGGTACATTTCATACCAATGTTGATTGGTTGCCAAGGAGACTCCACTGCTGCTCTGGACAAGCTCCTGTTTCCATCTCCCTTTCTGCTAAAAGGACAGGAACTCATGGTGTAGGTTCAAGGGCAAGATGCTGAGGAAGTGGAAGCTACAGATCTAGCCTAATAGAAGAGATCTGAAGTGAACTAAGTTCTCTGTCTGCTCCACTATCAGCAGCAAAAGTATGTGAGCTCAAATGAAAAAACTTGGCAGTTTTAGGTTTGAAGGGACATCCTCATCCAAAAACAGAATATCCTTCCTTGCATAAATCCAAGGGAAAGGCCAAGGGGAATCAGCATCTACCCATGAGGTCCAAAGGTATCCTATCCCTGGCTTCATCTGAGACAGGAGATTTTACTAATAAGAGAAACTACTACTCTGAACAAAATTGTCCATTACAGTAGCCCCCAATCAGAAATAAGGACAGTTCCTTCACACAGAGTTCCAAAATTTTGGACTTCAGCTAGAAACTATTTGTTGTTTCTCTTCCAGTACTGTGCCATTGATTCTTGCATAAAGTTCTGGAATGCTGGCTCTTCACGGCTTTCCTCTGTAACTATAAGGAAAAAAGGTCAATTCTTTTTAAACTCTCCCTATTAGGCAGATTAGAGCAGCTATCACCCAATCATCAGAAATAGTACAGTTGAACAACTCAGGTTTGAACTACATGGGTCCACTTATAGACAGATTTTTTTCAACAGTAAATATTAATAGTAAATACAGTACGACACGATCCGCAGTTGGTGGACTCCACAGTGCGGAACCACAGAGGGCCAACTATAAGTCCGTTTACAGAGATTTTCAACTGTGAAGAGGGTGGGCAGCCCTAAACCCTGGGCTGCTCAAGGGTCAACTGTACTCTAAGACACTACATGTTCACTTCTCCCAATAAGGAAATATCTTCCAGAAGCATGCTCTATTTATCATGTTGCCCAAAATGTACAATTTCTTTGACCTTTAAGTGGGGAGAATACCTCCTTTGTTAAGTAACTAAAATGAGATCCCACTCCTACATATTTTTAACCAAGAGAAATGAAAACCTATTCCACGCAAAGGCCTATGAAATGTTTATAGCAGCTTTATTTACAATAGCTAAAACTTGGAAACAACCCAAATGTCAATCAGTTGGTGAATGGATAAACAAAGGTATTCCATAATAGAATATTACTCAGCAATAAAAAAAACATGTTACTGATACATGCAATAACATGGATGGATCACAGGAACATTACACTGAGTGAAAAAAGCCAAATACAAGTTAAATACTGTGATTCCAATTAAATTATAGGAACAAAAATCAGATTAGTGGTTGTCAGGAATTACTGTGGGGGAAGGGACTGAATAAAAACAGGCATGAACTAAGTTTTAGGGTAATAGAAGTGTTCTGTTTCTTGATTATGATGGAGATTAAAGACCATATAGCTATATTAAAATTAATCAAACTATACACTTTAAAAGGGTAGGAGTTATTGTTTGTAAATTATACCTCAATAAATCTCTTTTTTTTCTTTTTTTTGGGGGGAGGGGCAGGGGGGTTATTAGGTTTATTTATTTGATGGAGGTACTGAGGATTGAACCAAGGACCTTGTGCATACTAGGTATGTACTCTGCCACTAAGCCACACCCTCCCCCCACTCAATAAATCTTATTCAATGAGACAATTTACATCTTAGCACCCAGCACCCTAGAAGGGAGTTTTGCTTTTGGGCATAGCTAGGACCTAAAAGGGTTGTTTCAAGAAATAGATTCTGTCTACAGTCCATGAAACTATGCCATGTGGAAGCCTTTTGGGTTTCCAGAGCCATTTTATCCACAACGTCACAGTCCTTTCTAACTGGTTTAGATCTGCTGAGGCCTTTTTATGTATTCTTAAAGCAATGATTACAATAAACAATCCTAGATTCCTCAGATTGAGTTAGCACCTAAAGATGGGAAGACACAGGACTCACAAAAGGCTTGTAATCAAACTCAGTATTAACCATTCAGCAGGAAGGCCAGGAACTCTTTCCTGGTGCTGCATCCTTTATCATTTCCTCTCTCCCCTATTATTGGCTGCATGCTTAAGGTCTTCTCTCAACAGCAGGAAGCTCCTGAGCAAACAATGAGAGGATAAGCAGCTGTTCTGTTTTCTGTTTTTTTTATGATTCTTTTTAAATAATTTTTTTTAAACTTTAGGTTTATTGGGTTTTTGGTTGTTGTTGTTTGAGGGGTAGGTAATTAGGTTTATTTACATATTTTTTGTTTTTACTGGAGGTACTGGGGATTGAACCCAGGACCTCATGCATGCTAAGCAGGCATTCTATCAATTGAGCTATACTCTCCCCACAGCTGTTCTGTTTTCATGGCCACCTCAGCCCCTTCTCACCTCTGTGGTCAATATCATCAGTATCACTGTCTGCTTCCTCATCCTCTTCATCCAAGGTTCCCCGAGTCAGGATCAAGTCAGAAGGGTCCAGCACAGGAGATGAACTGCCTACAGTGAAAACACGTATCAGCAGCATGTCATGAACACAGACCTCCTCAAAAGAGTGATTTTGAATCAATAAATAACTATGATTAAAAAATGGCAGGATGAAAGTGGTCATGATATAATGCAGGATCTTATCTTGTCTAAATGTACTGTTAATACCACTTAACATTTCTACACTAGTTTATTTTACACAGTGCCTTCGTAATGCAAAAAGCCCAAGAGGTCTCATTTTTAAGCTAAGGAAAATAATTCTCAAGTAGCATGTCTGAGTATTAATGTCATTGGTTTTACTAGCTCACAGCTTGGAAGAGGCTATGGTTTTTCCTATGATGGCTAAAGACATTTGAGCAGATCCAGTGTGCCGATGAGTCAAGGGTAAAAGTGTTGAGTGTTAAGGAAGCTTCTTGGTGGAAACTGAAGTTCAGAGAGGGTCTGAAGAGAAAACAGGGTGAAATGATAGACAGTAAAGGAGCCAGGGTATTATTCAAGAAAAAGAGGAATCAACGAAAAATGGAATATACTAATAGAGTCGAGTTCCCCATCCAGGGAAAAGGAATAAGTGCTGAACTCCAATTATGAGGAGGAAGTCTAATCAAGTAATTCTGAGGCTAGGGATTCAGCCTGCGGGGATTGGTCTCTATGAGAACCTAAAACCAAATCATGGAAGGTCATGACCACTCAACTCCCTCTTCAGGAGCCTAAAAGGTTAAGAGAGCTCAGCTGGGAAACAAGGGTGGCCAACAGCAGCAACATCAAGAGGCACAAATCTCAAGGGGCCAGTGGTCTTGAAAAAGGATGATGCAGTCATGTGCTCACAGTCAATGCTTCATTCTCTGCCCAAATAAGAATTATACAGCTGGACTTGTGATTTTTCACAAAAGATTTACTGAAACTCCCCTAACCTTTACCAGGTTATCTGAGTACAGTGGACCCTTTGCAGCAGATTTAACATTTGCCATTTCATGTAGTCATGAATGATTCCAAAGGACCACAGTACACAGAAATTTATGTTGCTGAGGAGGAAAACAAGGATGGCACAGGCAACCCACTCAACCAGTAAACCCAGCCAGGTTCCAGCACCTCCTCCTCCAAGCAGCTTTGCTATTCTCTACTAGGCATATAGCAACAGCGGTCATGAATAGAACTTCACTTCTTTAAAAGCCAGTCAACCAATGATGGGCTGAGGGCAGGAGGGCATGTATATACTTAAATTTGAGCACCAACCTAGGAACCCCTAGAGAATCAATGACAAAACTAACTCAAATAGTTAAAAAAAAAAAAAGTAAAGTAGCAGAATAGAAAGACTAATATACAGAAATGAAAAGTCTTCACATACACAAACATAACCAGTTAGAAGAAAAATCCCATTTTCAACACTTATAACAAAGAAGACAAAATCACTGGAATAAATTTAACACATTTAACTCAAACCTACATGAGGAAAACACTCCTGAAAGACACAAAAGTAGACTTGGTAAGTACAGACACATTCCTTGTCCTTAAACAGGAAGAGTCAATACCACAGAGATGTCAGATAATTAATTAATTAATTAATATAACACAATCCCAATAAAAATACCAAAGAGCTACATAAGTTGATACTAAAGGTGCAAGAATAGTCAAGGAAACACTAAAAATGGTAACTTTGAGGGGCACTACCCCTAGCAGATATTAAAACATACTATAAAGCCTCTGTATAATTAAGGCAGCACAGTACAGGCACACAGTCTAGAAGAATAAAATGACATAATTCAGAAATATACCCAAGTACATATGAAACTTTGGTATATGATACAGGTAGCATCTCATCAATGGGACAGAGGTAGGCTTTTCAATAAATTGTGTGGGTACAACTATTTATGAAAAAGGTAACTTAGACCTATACCTCACACCATACCCAGGAATAAACTCTAAATGGATCAGGAAGGAATCCAGATGTAGAAAATAAAACCATTTAAGTACTACAATAAAACATGAGTGAATGCCTCTTTATTTTACACAGGTGTAGGTAAAAGAGTCCCAAGTCTGACTCAAAACCAGGTACAATAAAAGACAAATCTGACTACATTAAAACAAAACAGAATAAAAACTTCTGCATGGCAAAGGAACGCCATGAACAAAGTCAAAGGGCAATGGACAAACAAGGAGAAAATACCTGCAACACGTGTCACAGAAAGATGGAGACTATCCCTGCCTAGATTAATGGATAGTAAAACTAGCAGGTGAACATTTGAAAATGAAAAAGACATTTATCTAATCAAAGCATCACCCCACAAAAAAATTACTATGAAGGTAAAAAAAACCTGGCAGACACCAATTTAAGTCATCAAGGATAAATCAGGATCGTGAGCCTCATATGATACATGGAAAAAACACAATTTCACATCTGTTAAGTTCTGCTAAAAATGAGCCACCTGAACTGAATCATGAGGAAATATCAAACTCAAATTGAGGAACATTCTATAAAAGGTATATAAGTCCTGCACACTTCAAAAATATCAATGTCACAAAATACAAAGGATCCATTCACAATTGAAGGAGACTCAAGAGACAACTCAGTGCAGATCTAGGATTTACCTAGATCAATCAATATAGACAGATATAAAATACTACATTTACTTTATCCTATTCTCTTCCTCTTAAATATAAATAGCCACCTACTAGGTGGAAGTAAGTGCACCCCTCTTTGGTTCCTAACACCAAGAGACCCTGCAGTACCTGCAGCAGTCCCTGTGTCCAAGGCTACAGAGCCCATATCTTTCCGAAGGCGTTCCAGCTGTTCTTCCTGCTGCTGGCTCTGTGCACGGGCCTATATGCATAGAGAAAAATGTCATCATGTTAAAAAAGGAGGCCCAAGGTAGATGCTAAACTTCTAACTGGAGATGATAAATTATACACATACTAGAGGCTACTTAAACATTGTGGCAGATAAGGGATGGCTGATATGGGGACAGAAACACTGAGCAGTGTGGGCGCAGACAGCAAAAGTTCACTCTGGAGAGCTCTGCAGATGGCATTAGAGGGCCAGAAATTAGACACAAGAACAACAAAAGAACCCTCAAGTAGACATAGCAGGAAGGCTCAGTGATAAGGGGCCCAATGTAGCCAAAGGGGGCAGGACACCTGATCATCTGGGATAGGAGTTGTGAACTGCCTCTCTATTCTTTAACAAAACTCTATGACTAGCCTTTAAATGGACTTCGGAGTAGGGGTGAAGGCGTGGCACAAGAAGGACTCAATATATGTAGCAGGAAAAATCTGATTTTTATTTCTTCAAATATAGAGAAGAAAACTAAGGGGACTTTCTTCATCCAAATAGCATACATACATATGTACAGATTTAAATTAACAAGTACCTAAAAGATACAGTGAGAGCCAAAACAAAAGCACTGATGGCAAAAGTATTAGTATATAGTTTGAGGTTGTTTTTTTAGTGGCCCTAAAATATACAAACAGCTCCTCTCTTACCAGTGATTTCTTCAGACGTTCATATTCAGGACGATACTCTCTGGAAAGAGAAACAATTTCTAAATCTTTGATTAATAATCTATCCTGCACCCTCCCGGGTACTTTGATAATAGCAAATGATCTTATGTCACCAAACATCAGATGTAACAAATCTTAGTCACTGAGATTCTGTCCCTAAGGAATTAAAAGCCAAGGTGCCTGCCCACTACCCTGAAACCAGCAAAGAGACAAAAGACTGACTGCTGAGCTGGAAAGATCAACTCTGGAGAGACCATGACTGATGAATTCATCATTCATTTGGATAAACATGAGTAAAAGACGTTTCAATGATGAGTAAAAGAAGCTAGGCCTGTTGGGCTCAGGAAGCCCAATATAGAATTATGTCCTTTATCTGGGCAATAATGAAAGGATACAAAATAGTCTATCCTGAGGCTTTGATAACACACATTAAAAAACAAAACAAAACAACAAAAAAAAACCTCATCTGATGAATAAAATCAAAATGTGTCTGAAATGCACAATGGGCTATTTAGGATCTTGCTAGAAAGCAGCTAATTGTCAGGCTTCATATAGTGTAGAGGTGCTCTGACCCCAACTTCCTTTAATAAATGGAATGCCAGTATTAACCATGACAATAATTATAACTACCATTTATTAAGAAAAATGCTTACTCTGTGTCAGCAACTGTGCTAGGTGCTTTTTTTTTTCCTCAAATAATCCTCACATTGACCTTAGCAATAAGTGCTATTATCCCTCATTTACAAATGATGAAAACCTGCTAAGGTTACTCATTTATTAAGTGGAGGAAAAAGAAATCTAACCCACGTCTATCTGATTCCAAAGTCTATATTCTTTATCAGGGCATCAACCAATGAGGCAAAGGGGCCAAATGCAGTCCACAGCCTATTTTTATAAATAAAGTTTTATTGGACCACAGCATGCCCATTTGATTAGGAACTGCCTATAGCTGCTACTGCACAACCATGACACAGTTGAGTAGTTGTGACAGATAGTATGGCCCACAAAGCCTAAAATATTTACTATCTGGTGGGTTTTTAACAAAAAATGTCTGATGACTCCTGCTTTTAGTCATTTAATACAGTGAAGGTTTTATACTCCAGTTCTTTTTAAAAAGTTAACAGGGACTTGTTAACTGTAAGTGTGGTCAGATTCAGTACATCGCATAAAAAATGTTTTGCTAGCAAAACTGCTATCATACCAGAATTGTGGGTAACTAAGAATGTCATCAATAGAATGTTCCTTTATCCTCACCTTTCATATTCTTCTGCAGCACTGGCAACTTGCACAAAGAGTTCATCTAAGCCTGTACCCAGAACAGCAGACACACCCACCACCTGCCAAAAGCATCATTAATGCCACTAAGGAAACAACAATATATTTTTAAATGATTTACATTATTTGGCTCAAATTTAATAAAATCTTCATAAAAGAGGTTTAGATACTTTAAGAAGTCTCTGGCAAAGAATGAAGCTAAAGCAAGACATGCTATGGAAGTCTATGGAAAGATAAGACAAGTCTATGGAAAATAGAGAACTGAAAAAGATAATTAGGACCAAACAAGTATCAGTTCTTTTCATCTATTCCCTGTCAAATCAAACCACAGTCTCTTCTCTATAAAAATTAGTACCTCAATGTCTTTGCTTGGGCAATTAACATACTCCCTGCCATGCACAGCCACTTTTGCTTACACAAATCTTACCCTTCCTTCAAAGCATACCTCTAAATGCTACATCCTCCACAATTCTCATTTCAAAAATGATCTACCTCCTCAGTACCATCAGGTCCAACTTCCAATCTTTCTTAAGATACCACAATATAAGTTACCACAATATATCATGTTTCAACTCTGTGTTAGCCTTCTCTCCTAATTAGACCATAAACTCTCTGAGGCAGGATCCCTATCTTACTTATTTTTTAAACCTCCAGTTTTTAATAAGCAATGCCTTAAAAAATTACTTCCCAGAAGGTAATGGACTTCCTTACTAAAATGTGTTCAAAGTCAGCCCTGTGGATTAAGAGTTTATCTGGGTAGACCATCAGCATGGGCAGGGGAGAAAGTTTACCCTGAGTGAGCTGTAAAACTCATCTAACACCAGGCTCATCGAGCGAGTCAGGTTACTGACATATGTAGTTTCTTGATTCAAGGCATCTTGGAAAGCCTCAAAATCCTGCATCCATTCCACTGCAAAGCTGTGATCAATGATGTCAGTCTGTACCAGAAAGAAGTCAACTATTAGCAATCAGAGATTAGGTCAGACATCAACCAATAGCAAAAAAAAATTTTTTTAATTAAGTGGTGACAGCAAAAAGCAATCATTCATATATTTTCTTTCTCTGCTTCCCCCATTTCTTCCTCCACTGCAACAAGCCACAAAGAGCCAAGACTGCTGTGCGGTATAAATAATTAAATGAAGATATGTATATTCCAGGTTAAAATAGACCCTTCGTTATCCACTGCCAAGTGACTATGGCACCGTGGAGGCCAGCACATTCCAGGCTCTAAAGTCAAGTACATAGTCTCTTGCATCCCAGCCGACAACCAACAACAGAGTTTTGTTTTTGTTTGTTTTAATTGCCACTTCCAATAGACTAGCAGTCTCTCCCCCATTTACACAGTTCCGATTCTGAGGGATAACTCACACACTGTGATGGAGGGGCTACTCTATCTAGCCTAAAATAACTTTGGAAAAGAATCAGTGAAAAATATTCATTCAATCTGATTGAATCCATTTCCCAGAAGTGCTCATGACTTTGCTTCAGGCTAGTTTGAATCTGCTCTCCAGCATCTGAAATAATCCTTCTCACTTACCCAAATTTCTGATAATACAAGGTTCTGATGAAAAAGAAATATTCACTCACAACAAGAAGAATCCACTTACTTTATTCATGACCACAATAAAAGGCAGCTTGGTTTTGTACAAGATGCTGAAAATCAAACATCAAGGCATTATTAGTAGAAGCACTTAAACTCTTGCTTGACTGTTATCAGTCTGATGGATCTGAGTAATAAAAGGGGGGATGAGTTCAGACTCTAAATACAAGTATACGTTCTTACACAGCACTCACACATTCTTCCCTCCCAAGCAGGAAACCATCACCAACATCCAGCAAGCAATATACATAGACTCCCTCTCTCTTTCTTGGAGTAGTAATGCTTTGGTATTGATCCTGGTTTTGTGTGTGTGGGCTTGTTTTTACCAAATAATTGTCTTTCAAACAATTAACATGACAATAAAATTATGCTAGCAAACATCAGATTTCTATTTGGACTAGGACTTCTTGTATCTAACAGGAAGGGACATCCCTAGTCATATTAGAAGAGACAAATTGGAGTGATTGCTTTTGCATACCCCCAAAATAACATTCAGCGTTAGTAATGGTCTGCCCTGCTCCTAGGTCTAATGCACTCACATAGCCTAGTCACGCAGGTCCTTCCTCTCCTAACGGCACCACACTTGGGGAAACATGTGCATTTAGGATTACAGACAAGTCTTTTTATTCCAGTCTCTCCTCATGTTATAATTTCACTCTGCCTATCACAACACAGGGGAAAAAAGCATTTAGACCAGGAGGCTCTATTCTATTTAGAACTGGATTTCATTCAACTGGGGGCAACTACCAGAAGGTTCATATTCATTTATCACCTGTTCTGTAACAGCAAGGAAGGAAGAGGAGAAGGCGCTGTTAGAGAATGCCAACGGCATCTGTGCTTCTTTTCCCTTCTCAACCCAGAGTCCCTCCCCCGACCGGAGCTGTAAAGTGAGTGGCAAATGTGAATGAGCACAAATCTAGGCATAAGCACTCAGGACTCAAAAATGAAGGAAAAGAAGAAGTGAAGACTGAAGCATGATACTTTGATGTAATACTATGCTCAACAATAATGAATTACCTGCAGGCATAGAGCATATTGGACATGAAGGTCACTGGGTTGGTACTTCGAGATGTGTCCATTACATAAATGACAATCGTTGGGAATGAGGATGCCTAAAGCCACAAAATAATCAAAGCGTTAGTCAGAGAGTCCTTGACCTGTCCACAAACTCTTTTCCACCTCCATCGCAAGGACAGTGTACCACTTTAGGCAGGTGTACAGAGCTCTGTGACTCTAGCCCACTTAAGACCCCAGGCCATAAGACGCTTTTACTGTCTGGCTCTCTACTTACCCTCAGTAACAAGTCTAGAATACTCACCAGGGCCTCGGTGATGATTGTCCCAGAAGCTGACCAAGTAAATACTTCAATCTGTCCAGGTGTGTCAATCAAGACATACCTATGTCAAAAAGGACCATCCATTAAAGAAGTTTTTACTTATGCATTCTGAAAGACATTTCATCCCACAAAACATTAACATCCGGTTATTCAAGAATGAAATAAACTCTTCACAATGCCAAGTCCCACTGCTTCCCATTGTCCTTAAAGTCCCTACCACATTCCCCAGGCTCTGTTCAATGTCCAATATTCAGGCTAACTGGTAGGAGCAGCAATATATCACTGCTGCAAATGATCACAAGGGAAACTGATAGTTTTAGAAACATACTGCATTAAAAATGAGATATAAGCAAAAACAGACTGCAAATCTCTTGGGAAATCATCCGGTACTTAGGTGTGGGGGTGGAAGAAAATGGAGGGGAGAGAGGACAAGAAGAATAGGGAAGTGACAACTAAAGAAGGGGGATGAAATGTTCTAAAATTGATTGTGGTGATGGTTGCACAATTCTGTAATTAAACTAAAAGATACAGAATTGTACAACTTACATGGGTAAATTGTATGGTATATGAACTATATCTCAATAAAGCTGTTTTTAAAAAGAGCAAAGATCTACACATATATGGACAATAAATTGACAACAAAGGAGCCAAGAACATACAATGGAGAAAGGAAAGTCTCTTTAAGAAATGGTATAGGGAAAAATACACAGCCACACGCAAGAGAATGAAACTAAATCACTATCTTACTCCATACACAAAAATGAACTCAAAATGGACGAAAGACTTGAATGTAACACCTAAAAACATTAAATTACTCAAAGAGAACTTAGGTGGTAACCTCACTGACATCTGTTTTAGTGTTTCTGTGGATCTGACTCCAAAGGCAAGGAAATCAAAAGCAAAAATAAACAAATGGGACTACATCAAATGAGAGGGCTCCTGCACAGCAAAGGAAACCATCATCAAAACTAAAATGCAGCCTACTGAACAGCAGAAAATATTTGCACATAACATCTCCAGTTAGGGATTAGTATCCAAAATACATAAAGAACACATATAACACACTAACAAACAAACAACCTGATTCAAGAATGAGCAGAGGATCTGAATACATAGACATTTCTCCACAGAAGACATACAGATGGCCAATAGGCACATGAAAAGATGTTCAACATCACTAATTATTAGGGAAATGCAAATCAAAACCACAATGGAATATCACCTCACATCTGTTAGAATGGCTCTTATGAAATAGATAACAAATAACAAGTGCTCGAGAGGATGTAGAGAAAAGGGAACTCTCATACACTGTTGGAATAAAAACTGGTGCGATAACTATGAAAAACAGAAGGGAGATTCCTCAAAAAATGAAGAGAGTTTCCACACAATCCAGTGATTCCACTTCTGGGTGTTTAACCAAAGAATATAAAAATACTAAGTAGAAAAAATATATGCACCCCTATGTTCACTGCAGCATTATGTACAATTGCCAAGATAAGGAAGCAATCTAAATGTCCACCAATGGATGAATGAATTAAGAAGATGTGTGTGTATGTGTGTGTGTATACATATATATAATGAAATACTACTCAGCCACAAAAAAGAATGAAATCTTGCCAACTGTGACAGCATGGATGAACCATGAGGCTTTTATACTAAGTGAAATAAGTCAGAAGGTAAAAGACAACTATCATATGATTTCACTCATATGTAGAATAATCTGGGGGAAAAAAAAAAACCCAAGCCCACAGATACAGAGAACAAATTGATGTTACCAGAGGAAAAAGGGGTTGGGGGCAGGCAAAATGGGTGAAGGGGGTCAACTGTATGGTGACAGATGGTAATCGGACTTCTGGGGGTGATCGCTTTGCAGTGTACACAGATGCCAAATTATAATGTTCTATACCTGAAACTTTTTTTTAAAAAGTTAAAAATCTGAATGGACATTTCTCCAAATATATACCAGTTGCCAAAAAGTACACTAAAAGATGTTCAACATCATTAATTGTTTTGGAAATATATATCAAAATCATAATGCATTACCACTTCATACCCACTAAAATGGCTATAGTCAAACACAAAAAAACAGTAACAAGTACTGACAAGGGTGTACAGAAATTGGAATCCTCAATATATTGCTGTGGGAATGTAAAATGAAGCATGCAGCCACCAGGAGCCTGGAGAAAGGGGTAAATAGAGCAACTGCTAAAGAGTATGGGGTTTCTTTTGGAGACGATCACTGCACAACTTTGTGAATACACTAAATTGCATACTTTAAAAGAATGCACTTTATTCTGTGAATTCATACTGCAATAAAGCTATTATTTTTAAAAACTACTCCAGTATGATCCTATTTTTGTAGAAGCACCTTATTCATCCATTCTTCTATTTATGTACATGAGAATAGAAACAAGTGGAACGATAGTCACTGGGAGTAATAATGATAATGATAATTATTTCTAGTGACAAGGGTGATAGTTTCACCTTTTAAATACTATATATGAATTATTTATAGTAATAAGCCTATATCCTTTTTACAAAGATAATAAATTATCTTCCTGTCTTTTAAAAAAGCAAACTTATTAAAAATTTAAAAACAGTTAATTGTGGTTAATGATAATAAGGATTAATGTTATTTTATATTTTGATACTTCCTAAATTAAAAAATATTCTCTTTGGATCATGTAAATTATAGTTATTTAAACAAGGATTAAAAAGGGATTTCAGAGACTTAAATGCCAACCAGCAAGAGAAGACAGGTGGGCAAATGAATGTGGACTCAAAATTCTCAAAATACCTCCAAAGAAGCCAGGGGCATGTATGAAATTGATTGGGGGTGGGATACTATTAAATTGAGCTCTACACTGTAAAACATCTTAATGATTGTTTTCTTGCCCACAATTTTTCATTTATTATGGATTCATCTCAAACTACACCTTTTCAGAACTTGACAATATCCCCAAATCCTTCAAAAAGCCTAGAAATGTGTTAACTACAGAGTAATAAATAGGTATTAGACTGAAATCACTTACTTAGACATGTTCTGGGCCTTCTCAATAAATTTCATTACCTAAAAGAAAAAGATGCTAATTACAACAGGATTCAAGTTCAACACAAAAATCTCAGGACCCTCTCCAAAGTGGCTCACCTCACAGGAACCATCAACAATTGAGTCTCCATGTTCTCATCTGAGGACCCCAGCTAATATGCCCAGAAAACCAAAGAAACACGGCCACACCACATCACACCCCGGAGCACAGGGCAAGTACCAGAGCAACTGATGACTTGATTTGCTACTGTCAAGTCATATCTCTTAGGGCAACAGCCTGTTTCATTGAGTGAAATCAGGGTAAAAAAATTACTGACTACAAATTACTCTATAGGAAGTAGAATGTGACAAAGGAAACCTAACAAATGACAGCTGTTTGTCACAAGTAAAAAGCCCCATAATCGTTCCATTCCATGCCTAATAGCCCATCCCACTCCCCATCCCTCCACTCCATCCTCAGGGTAACACTGCAAGCCTATAACGAATCAAGAAGAGAACCCAGGTCTCTTGGGTGTTTGTTTTATTGGCTGCCACAAACATTCAGTGTGAAGCATCTCACCATGTTGATCATTCTCTCATAGCCTACTTCTCTGTCTACCAAAGTGCCTCCTTATGTTCTACATTTACATCCAGGTTGACTGCCCTTCTTTCCCAATGTGATCAAGCTAAGGCATTTAAGAGTCACAAGTTTTGACACAGCCAATTATATGAAAGTAAAGACAGACATACCTGATCAAATCTGGTAGCAAAGAGATTGAGTGAGGTTACTATGCCACCATTGGGCCCAAGTCCATACCTAGACACTAAGTTAAGGATTTGAACTGCTTTTAGATCAAGTTAGATGATAAAGTTTATACCTAGACAATCCCTCACAAAAACAGCATGATAACATTAGTGTTCCATTGACTAGTATGTACCACACAATCTTAACCTGAGGGAAACATTCATTATTGATGTCTTCCTCACTTATTTATCAGTTTAGAGATGGCCAAGCAAAATGGGACCAAAATGGAATGAACAGATGTATCAGGCAGTGACAGCCTGATGACACTACCATGAAGATCATCTATATATCACTCCTTGCTCTGATCCTCATTCATCAAGTCACCTGCAGAATTAGTCTTCCCACCTAGACTTACCTACATGGAAAGTACACATTTCACACAGCAATATACTAAGACTTGTTTCTACTAGTTTCTGAGTTTTCCAGTCTAAAGAGATGGTAACCAATAGATATATCAACCAACGTAATACTACCACGGGGGACGGAGGGACATCAACAGCTAGCCTCTCATTCTCTGTGCTACTTACCACAGCCCGCCGTGTGGGATGATGGCACAAAACAGAACAAAGCTGAAACAGGATTTCTAATCACCCACAATTCCTCTCCCCACATTCATCTTCCCTGCCGTTTATAAAATTACTTGAAAGCAATCAGATACTTTTGCTAGTATATTTCCCAAGGAAATACGATTTCAAAGCCACATAACATACAGCAATAACCACACAGGGAAGAGCAAACAACAAAGTAGATGTGGAAAAGGATACTGTTTCATGACTTCTTTATACTTCACAGTGTCACGAATATCTGGGGAGAAAAAGGAATGAACTGGAATTTAACACATAAGAAACAATATAGTTTGAGATTCTCCACCTATAATATCTAAGCAAAGAGGCCTCTCAAGTCATCTCTGCTTCTTCTGAGGAAGCATATCAGTTCCTCTCAGCATCTCAGTTACTTTTCAAATCTGTTTTCTAAGTTTTCAAGCTAACATCATTGAATTGTGACAGCAAAAGAAGTAAGATCAGAAGACTAGGAGTACAAAAGGTGCCCTCTAAGTACCTTCCCTTACAACAAGAAACTGAAACTAGCTTCTGAGGCTTCTTTCGTCGTCATTCTCTTCTAGTAATTTCTCCAGCTTCACACTGGTTTTCTTCCTTATGGTCAAGGATAACTGCCAGGTAACTCAAGAAGAATGTTAGGCTAGGGGCTAACAAGCTACAGAAAGGATGGTCTGAGACAAGGAGAAAAGTTTTAAACAATTGAAATACCTTCTCAGTGACCATATGCATAGAAAAAGAGAGTTAAATCAAGGAAAAAGTTCTATTTCTTACTCCGTGCTTACTGGTAACAAAGGTAATGCAGACAAGATTTTTACAAACGCATTAGTTTGTGGGGGTAGATGGGGGAAGAGAAGTAGATACTAGAAATTAAGAGGTACAAATTTTCAGTTACAAAATAAATGGGTCATAGGGATGAAATGTACAGGGATGATAACTGGGAGGGAACCACTCACCACAAGAATGCACACAGGCAAAGACACAAATTTTCCCAAGTAACTTTGCAAAATTCCTACAGATCAGTAAGCAAACTACTGCACAAGACCCTAATGCTCTAAACTTGAAAAGAAGAAACTACACAAATAAGGATTTTGTATCAGAGCCTGCTGAAGGGTTTATGGCTTAGAAGCCAAAGGACTGACTTTCTGTCACTTCATTTTCATAAGTAACTATGTAGCTGACACCCTAGGTCAAAAAGAGGTAGAGAGAAAGGTAAGTGGCAAGGGAAAAGAAAACAAATTTAGGAAAGGAGAAGAAGTAAACAAAGAGAAAATGGGAATCTGAGAGAAGCCTGTTTCAGGATGCTAGCAAACTCAAGGGAAATGAAATTAGAAAGTTTAGAAAACATTAAAAATGAAAGCTTTGAAGACTGGTAGAATAGGCTGACAGCTTTCCATTCTCCGAGAAACTTCACATAAGTTCTGGTACACGTCACTCACCAATATTGGCAGGAAAGGGAACTTCATGCACAGCTGGGTCCAGGTTGATCACATATGGTGGAGAGCCTTGACTATGCAGATGTCCCGTGAGCCTCTGTGAGGTATGGGGAGAGGGATGGACTGAGACCAAGAGGCATGATAGGGAATAAGAGAGAACTTCCACCCCTTTATCCAACTTACCAGAAGAATTTTGTACTTCCATTTCCCTCTACCTTAAATATTCCCCTCTGATCTCCACCTCCAACATTTACTCAGTTGAAAAGCTACCTTTCTTCACCACAGAGCCAACAATGTCCTCTCCAAAACCCCTTGACGTGGGAAATAGGGCCGGGAGATTCCATCTCCCCCACAAAATATCAGCTCTGTTTAAGCGGGAACCTTGTCAACCTCATTTCCGCTGTATTGCCCAGTGTCTGAAACATGGTAGGTGCCCCAGAAAGAATTCTTTACGAATCCACACCAAAAGCCTGTGTGCTCGCCCTCTATTAACCGCCAGAATTACTTCTAAGCCTCTGTCTTTGAGGACTTGGCAATGACAATTTCAATACCAAGTACGGTAGTACCAATAGTCACTGAAGGTGCGCAGAAGAGAGGCTAAATGAACTCAGGTTGGGGTCTGAGAGGGCTTCATGGAGAAGAAACCGGAGTTGCTGGCAAATCCGTGAAAGCCAGACGCCGGTACCCTCCAACTTCCCAGAGACCTCCCTCACATTCTCCCTGGCCTTCCGCCCGCCCACAGACAGCTTCACTCGCGCCTGTGCTACGCCAGCGCCGTGCAGGTCACCTGTACAAAGGTAGTTTTCCCAGATCCCGCCATTCCCAACACCAACAGACACACTGGGAGCCGGGGACCCCCAGAAGCTTGCGGCTCCATGGCAGCTGCGGGCGCGGCCATCTTGCTCCTGGCTCCGCCCACTCGACCATAGAGACGCTGGAGGCTAGAGAGACTCCCGCGACGTACGCGGCTCTGAACGAGCGTAGAACCCGACTGAACCGAACCAAACCGAACCGGACCGAACCCAACACAACGGGCCAGAAAGGGCAGGGCCACGGGGCGAGGCCTGCGCCCTAGCTTATGTCCGTGACGACCCGGATGGGGGCCCAATTGGGAACAGCGTCTAGGAAGTGGAGGCACTGGCTGAGTGACTGCAGGGGGCCTCCCAATGAGCCGCTCATCGTTGTCGGTCAGGGCCTGCTGCGAAAGACTCCGGGCTGGCTGGACGAGAGGGGACCCTGGGGCCCCCAGAGTACAAACGGGAAGAGAGTGCGTTTTCCTGTCTGCCTCCAGGGAGCGGGAAACAGAGTAGCCGGAGAACCGACCCCTAGGGCTCGGCCAGCAGCCAAGGATGTTAAGCAGCTCACGGCAGGACGGCCCTCGACCTGGGCGGGGTACAACCCCTGGAGTCGCTGGGCCGCGCGGAGGCCTGTGGAGCTCAGCCGGGAGAAACTGGGAAAACGCGTCACATGGGGAAGCTATTTCTGCTTCTCGCCAGCCTTCGGCTCTAGGGCTTGCTCCCGGGCGGTCTCCCCAAAGCCATCGTACCGTGATTTGTGGGAGGAACGTTTGGCTGCCGAGCTTATCAAGTAGGTACTGAAGGGGCGCTTCCCTCCACCCAAGCGCCCTCGGCACCCAGAAAGGTGATGAAAGAGTCCAGCCATGTACTGCAACCGCCCAGGCGGCTCCAGTGGCCCTTTGGAGCGGCTGTAGTATTAGTAAGCTGTGAGATCTGGGTTTCACACCCCGGCTCTGCCACTCGCTGGCTGTGTATGTCGTGTCCAAGTCACTTCAGTACTCTGAACCTGTTTTCTCTTCACATTTGAGATACCTCGCAGGGTTGCAGTTGAAGACACATTGTAAGCTACACTCCCTCGCCTTTACCCGTAACTCTATCCTACGTGCCTTGTGTGAGGAATATCATAGGTGCTCCTAAATATCTTCGTGTATGAATTACAGTTCAAGTGTGCGTTTTAAAAATTTAAAATTTTAAAAATTTTTCGTGAAAAACTAATGGAATGGCTCTTGTTCTTTCAGGTTAGCGGAAGACTCCAGCAATCCCCTTCAACCGGATGTTAGTTTCGTATATAATTTTCTCAACCAAGAGAAGCTAACGAAGGCAGAAAAGAGGTTTAAAGGAAAGGCAATGGTGGAAATGATGAAGCTGGACAAGCAAATCAAAGAATTTCAAGTCCAGCTAGAACCCCTAGTGGAGCAAACCAGGCAGTTACTCACCGAAAAGGCACATGTTCAGGAGGAAAACCAGTTCTTTCTGGAATACATGACCAAGCACACTGAGGAGGCTAAACAGCGAGCCAAGAAGCTGTGGAACGACTGTTTACAACAAAGTAGGGAGATTGAACAAACGAGACAAAATTTAGCCTTCAAATATGCGGGAAAAAATTCAGCGCTTAAAACAGAGTTCCAACAGAAGGCAGATATCCTCTCCAGTCTGAATCAGCAATTGCACCGAATGAGGGACGCTTGCATAATAAAGGAGAAACAGGAGAAAGAAATTCAGACATTACAGGAGGAGATAAAGAAAACCCCAGCTGAGACAGCTGCAAAGAAGGAGGCCATGCTGGTCCAGTTCCTCCAGGAAAAAGCATCACTGGCGGCACAACTGAGTGAGCTAGACGCCAGGCGAGTGGGAAAGAGACCAACAAATGGGATTCAGGCCTTGGAGAAGGCAGCAAAGCAGTACACTTTGGACTTCCACAGTAGTGTCAACAGACAGAACCAGCGGTTACAGAAGGAAATTCCACAGCTAATTCAGAAATACCGGAAGTTGGAGGCTACTCAGAGCCATATAAAAAAGAAAAAGCAGCAGCTGCAGCAGGAGCAGTGGTACCTGGAGTGCTTAAGCCGCGGGAGGCAACGGCTGCAAGAAAAGCGTAATCTGTGCCCAAATGGACAGGGTACTCCAAAGACCACACTGAACCCTGCCCTAGGCACCAAATCAAGGATGCTTCCAGAGTAATTCCTAAAATAACTCTGACTAGGTCCCGACTGGAGCAAGGGTTCTTAGGTGCTACCTAACATAAACCTGGTTAGGAAGGCTTTGGGATCTCCGGTTGCTATGGTAAAATAACCATCATAATGTGTTAGTGTGAAGGATTCGGTGTGTTTATCCAGCAGTACTGCTAGATTATTTGTGGGACTGCCTTCCCTTAAAGTTAGGTTTTTCTTTAATTAGCTCTTGTTAATAAACGGGATGTTTCTCATACCTCCAGATAACCCAATACCATTTGCCAAAAATCTGCTGGTGAAACTAGTTCAAGAAAACCACCTTGAGGAAAACACTTGTGTGGTGTTTCACCTAGCTAATTTAGGCTTCTTTATAGAAAAAATCGCCCCCGAAGCATACCATTTCAGATTGATGTATATGTGTGCTCTTTGTTCCATAAACAACCAATGTCAGTGTATCCTCTTCTTTTGGCCACATTAGCATACAAAGACAAAGTGATTTTACTCTCTTTGTAAAGTCTGTGACAGTGACCGGAAAGCTCCTTCAGTAGTTCTCTCAAGATTGAAAAATACTCTAATTGCAAGTATAATAAACCCTAGGCAGAATGACCTTCTGTCTGACACTCAGTCCATAAAATTGTGAGAAGGGATGAGAATTAGAAGGGATGTACACAAGGTCAGCTCTGACTTTTGAAAATAATCTTTGTGGAGAAATACCTCTAGCCTGAATGAGGTACTGAATGACTCTACCTGTTTCAGGAAAAAGTATCAAAAGGTTTTTCAAATATTTGGAGAACGTTTTAAAGAGTCTTTTGCCATTTCTTTCCCTAACAACATCCTAAATTCCAAGATGACAAGTAAAATGACTGAAGGTTCTGCAGAGTGAGTACTTTAGTTTTAAGTCACTTACTACATTTTCTTACTACATAAGCACTTACTTGTCCTTGAAATGCCTTTGTTATTCACGTCTATCCTATGTTTATGCCCCTTAAGTAGAACTAGGAATAGTATTTTAAATTAGTATAGACTTTTAAGGTAGTTATAGTCTTTGGCACTTACGACATACTGATAGGTAGACCAGGGATTTATGTGGACCCTGAAATATAACTCCGTATTTTTACATTGTCCCCAATGGGAACACAGAATCAACTTTGTTTTCAAGAGACTGTCAGTGATGAAATACTTCACAATAATTTTCCTGGATTTTCAGTTTTATATGTAAAGTGAATTCCTCTAAAATTGGATTCAGAAAAAGAATCTCCCTCAATGTGCCTTTAACTCCTAGCATTGAATTTCTGTTAAATGTGCTATTTCTTGGTTCTTAGGCAAAATTTTTGTTATTTGAAAATAAAAACCTCGGCTTATTATTTACCCAATGATCACTATTGTTTCGATGCTCTTATACTTTCTCTCTCTTCTCTTTACCAACTCTGCATGTCTTCTTCATACTAGTGTGTACATAATAAGATTGCAGAACATTAGGTGGCACACAGGTACATTAACCTGAATAGTTCAATTCAGTGGAGCTAAAAACACAGAAAGCCTGAACTTCAAAACCGTGGTATCCAAGACACATTGAAGCCCTTACTCTCTGGGGATGCAAAAAAACCCACAAAAAACAAACAAAAACCAACCATAGGAAAATAACTAAAGATAAGGGGTTTGAAAATAGGAAGGATAAAGAATTTTATTTTGCTATTAATTCCCCATCCTGCCAGTGTTATCCTGATGATCTAATTCAGTTTCTTTTGAATTCCTCTCATCCCAGATAAATTTGATCTGGTATACTATGTCTGACTCTTGCTTTGAGTATCATTCTGAGGGCTGAAGACTAAAGGGTGAGTCGTCTGACAAAGGTCCTTGGAAATCCGTATCTGCAAGCCACCAGTAAGTTGGCCAACTAGGATCTCAGTCTACTTTTTGCTATGCAGGAAAGGAAAGAGGGTGATGTTATAGAAAGTGCATTTGGATGGAAAAAATCTCCGAGCTGAAATTTAGGTTTAAGACTTGAATGATAAAATGAAGCCTGCAGTGCAAGAACTGGGGAAGAATCATTCCAGGCAGAGGGAACAGTGAATGCAAAAGCCCTAAGATGGGAAGGAGCTTGGAAGGATCAAGGAACAGAAGAGTCAGTGTGGCTAAGTGTAGTTGGGGAATGGCCAGAGAACAAAGGTGGAGGTGAGGCAGAAGAGGCTAAAAGGTTAATGGTGGGATCACAGAGGGCCTTAAAGGATAAGATAAAGGAAATGACTTTTATTCTTGGTGCACTGAGAAATCACTAGGCTTTGAGCAGGTGAATGAAGTCTGATTTACAATATAAAAAATTCACACAGCTGTATGAGGAGTGTACCAAGCCAGAGAAAAGCAGAAGAAGGAATCCACTGAGGAAGCTATGGCGTTGAGACCAGAGGTGGTGGTGATGGTTTGGATGGGGATGGCAGACATGGATGTGAAGAGAAAATATAGAGGAGAGCCAACTGTGATGGTGGGGGTGGAAATGAAAGGGGAAAATGAAGCAGAAGTAAAATTCCTAAAGTGTTCCCTTTGATGAAGGAAATGAGCACAATGTATCTTTTCTTGTTTGTATGAACTGGTTTTTTAAATGAAGCATTTCAGACATACCAAAAAATACAGAAAACTATAACAAAATCACTATCTATCTGAAGATACAAGAACTTACCATTTGTAGTCCCTCTGAAACCCATAAGCACTATTTAAATTTGGTGTGTATCACACCTGTGCATGTTTTCATGATATTTTTCTATATTTTATTAAAATATAAATATTTTAATAACTTGCTTTTCCCGGACATTATTTTTGAGATGTATCCATGATACAAGACCTGGTTTATTTGATAGCTGTGATAGATGACTATCACAACTTACCCAGTCTCCTGATGATGGACAAACGTAGGGGATAAGGCTCACAGAGACCCAAGAATGTATCATGTTTCAAAGAACAGACATTTTTTGCTCATATAATAGTCTAAGATAGATAAATCTTCCTCATTGTCAAATAGTACTTCTTGGGGTGATTCACGGAATCAACACCTTCCATGTTACGCTCTACCATGCCCTAGAGCTGCCATATCATCTGCATCTAGATGATAAGCCAGAAGAGGAGGAAATAAAGCATTGAGGTACACTCACTCTGTTAAAAGTTCTGGCATATTATTGATACACATCTCTTCTATTCACATCCCACCAGAAAGAAGTTAGTTGGCTACCCCAGCACTATAGGGGATTGGGGTGGAGGGCTGGAAGTGCAGTCAACCATTTCTTCTGTAATACTATAACTCTGCAAGGTGAAGCAGATTTTGGTAGGCAGTCAGTAGTCTCTGGTGTAGGATGTTTCCAGTGTGTACTGGAAATTGGACTGCAGTATCATTCTTGAAGATCTCTACTGGCACACCTGGACAGGAGGAGTTTCTCTGTATAGACTCAGGCATGAAATTGCTGAGTCTCAGGGCATATTTTACTAGATCCCACCAATTCTTTTGAAATTGATTGTACTAATGTCCATTCCAAACCATGCAAGGAGTTCACATTGCTCCAAAGTCTAGCTACACTTGATACAGTCCAACTTCAGTGAATATTATTCTAATGAATGTGGTTAAAAAACTTAAAAACTCAATAGTATGATTAACATCCTCTCTAGTGAGTCCTGCTGACCCCTGGCTCAGGTAGTTAAATAAAAGGATTGCCTACCAGGGTCCTGGATGAAATTGGGCATGTTTAATTTCAAACCAATTACAGGCACATGTCTGAGTTATTGAGGGTTTGGGTCTAGACCACCTCAATAAAGGGAATTTCACAATGAACCAAGTCACATGAATTTTCTGGTTTCCTAGTGCATGTAAAAGGTATGTTTACCCTGTAGTCTAAAGTGTGTAATACCATTATGTCTAAAACAACAATATACATGCCTTGGGAGGGGAGGGTATAGCTTTAGTGCTAGAGCACATGCCTAGCATGCCTGAGGTTCTGCGTTCAATCCCCAGTACCTCCCCCCTGCAAAACAAACAAACAAAAACCAATATATATGCCTTAATTAAAACTGATACCTATAAAGGGAAGAGCAATAAAGCAAGGTATGCATGTATTAATTTGAACCAGATTTCAACAGCTGAAGAATTACTGAGACAACTACACTACTTCTTCCAAATTCATTCTCATCTCTTGTCATCTTCCTCCCCCCACACACTGTGTCAGCAAGAAGTCAGGCAGCACGTTGCAGTCAGTGAACAACTGGAAACATCATTCTAACACAGAGTCATTTATTTTTCTTGTCACTGCCAAACATTCCCCAAGTCTTACTCACCAGAAATTAACAGAGCTTCTCCATTTTCCTCCCTGACAATCCTCATGTATGGAAAGGGCTTTAAGGGAGCAACTGCCAAAGACAATGTTGAGTGGATAGACCATGTCCTTCCCTTGTTTCAAAACAAACTGTTCTGGCAGTATCCCAATCAGGTTTCAATGCTCCCGTGTATGAAAGTGGTCTTCAAAAAGCCCACATTTTAAGGCTATATGGAGGAGCACAGAAAACAGAGTTAAAAGTAGTAACAGCTGTTCAGAATTTGAAAAGGTACTACTGGTCCATATTAGTGTTAAGGGTCTCTGGCTTTTTATGTGGCATATGCCACAAAAAATTGGCAAGAATATAGGAGACCAATATTTATGGAAAAAGGAAAGAGAATCCAGGAACACAACAACAGAGCTGCTCTAACCAATGTTCCAGGAAAAGCCAGCCTCAAAGAGAAATTGCCAGATAGACCTTATCAGGTAGGCAGGAGGTTCAGAAAAAGAACTTTTCTTTCCAACTCCAGATTAATATCTACACCTGGTGTCAAAGTCTCAGGATATAAAGAGGACAAGAACACAACATTTTAAAAAGAGAGTCAAGGACGATATTATACGATATTCTCAGAAAATTCATAGAGACAGACTTTGGCTAAAGGGAGAAATGAGTACTTAACAGAGTGCAGACTAACAAGTCATGTCAAGTCCAGGGAAGAAGGAATGTGCACCTTGGCTACTGACCTTCGTGGCAGTACCAGCAATATTAGGGGTCTGTGTCAAAACATCAGGGGCAACACAGTATTTCTCAATCCTTAAAACAGAGAGCAAGACAAGCTGCAGGAGGGCACCGTTCATAGCAACAGGTAAGGCCTCACAGCTAGGAAATCTGAGGCAATATTTATTTCTGCTGCTACTATATTCTTTCCTGTCATTTTATGTGTGGGACACCTTCCTCCTAAAGCTGCATTTCATGCCTGTAGGTCTAGTTATTCACTGCCATCTGGGACAAGTAAAGCATTTCCCAAGGAAAAGCTGTGTCCGGAGGGTCTAGCCTTTTTATTCTAAGTCTGTTTTCTCACTTTCAATCCTGAAACCATATTGAGACGACAAACTGCCTCCATAAATTTTGTCACCCAAACAGACAGGGGAACCTTATTATAGGAGTGACAACAGTTCTAGGTTCTAGGCTTGTTACATCACAAATACAAAATGATAAGTCAGTATGGTTTTTAAAAGTTAGTTTGGAATTGTTTTATAAACTAGATGGTGGAGTGACTATGAAGTCAATGGAACTTCCAAGAACTTTCTACATCCAGTATGGAAAGGACAACCAAACAGATTTCTTAGTCTTATACGGGGCAAGAGGGGCCTATAATGGGCCTTAAGAGGGAGCTCTTTGGGCAAGATAAGAGAAAAACAAGAGGACTCCAATCAGGAATAGCAGGAAAACCTACCAGAAAGGATGGGGTCGTAGAGGGTCCAAGGGAATCAGTAGGGAAAACAGTGAAATTTACACAGGAGGAAAGAGCTGAGAAGGTTACAGTCTTACACAAACAGCTAAAAGAGTAAATTTCTCTTGACTCAGCCCCGTGACTCAGGCCTCCCAGCACAGGTCTCTGAGACCACAGAATCCCATCCACTCTCCCAGGAGTGCTTTCACACTGACTGCCTACTTCTTTCCTCGTTTATGATTCGTCTTTGGGGGCTTGACTTTCTGGTACTGTGCTGGCACTGGCTCCTGCTCTGGTTCTTTACAGGTCGCCACTAGCAGTTCCTCATGACTCCTCCTCTGATCCTTCCCTACTCTAAGACTCAGCTCTGTCTCAGGAAGCTCAATGCCAGGCTGCTGCCGCCTTCTTAGAGACCTTCGGCTCCTGTGCTGCTGCCTCCGTTTTTCTTCTTCTTGCTGCCGCTGCTTTATCTTCATCAGCTTCTCAAAGCTCTTGGTCGTTGTTGGATTGACAACAAACCAATCCTACAGAGGCAAAACAGAAACATTATCCAGTCAAAATATAGTGTAGAGCATCTGGAAGCGGTGTAGGAAGATTTTTTTTTAAAGGCATGATTAAGGCAGAACA